TACCGCCTTCTCGGCCCCCTTCCGCGACAACAAAGCGCCCCCCGCGAACGCGGGGGCGCGACGATGACGACGCCCCCCCCGTAACGGGCGGCGGCAACGATGAGAAGCAATCAAACAAAGGGGCCCAAAGACATACAAATAAATATATACAAATCCGCGAATTCGCACTATGTTCAGATATGTTCCACGTGTTCGTCTTCCCCCCCACTTCCCAGAGTTTCCCATATCTTCCTGGCAATCGGCTATTCATGGTGTCTGTGAGGTGTTTCCCCTCCTGATGAAGGTTTCCCCTCCTGTGAGGCGACCTGAATTAGGATGACAAAAAAACATTAGACACAGGGGCTGTCTCCTGCAGATGTACCAGACCAAGCCACCCAAAATGATTACCCCTGGTGCGAAGACGGGGACCTAAGTGAGGCCACCCATTCCTCGTGCTCATCGACATCGCTCGGGCGTCCATTCCTCCTCGTGCACTGTTCGGCTTCGTGCGTGTACTAATCGCGAGATGGCCCGAAATGCTCATCGATGGGCCGCGCCAAGAAACAATGCACACGTCCGAACGATGCCAAGGTAACAGTGCGGGCGCGGCCGCAAGAAACCCTCGCAAGAAACCCAACCCTGAGAACCCGTGCCCGAGGTGCACCTGAGGGGAAACCTGGAGCACCCCGAACGCAGCAGCCCCTTCAGCGGCCGCGAGAAGTCACCGCGCAGCGCGATGAGCGAAGCAACCCAGGACACCCGGACGAAACACAGATGGTTTCCTGATGCGCGCCCCCACTGTATCAGGATTAGGGGCTCTACAGTCGGGGCCTTGAAGAAGGAACCCTTTTCGTTGGGGAGGGGCTCCGCGTTCCTTACGTGTTTCGCAGCTTGCCTCAGGTTTTCCTTCTGTTTCCGATCGGAAGTCGAAATTCAACTTATGGAAAAAAAGGGGCCTTGTTCCTTATTTAGGGTTCCTTAGGTCAACGCCTCGACTGTACTGCCCTCCACGAGGTCATGGGCGAGTGGCGGCGGCCGCGGCGGCCGCGGCGAAGGGGCTCTCGGCAGGCCTGGTACCTCGAGGGCCACGCGTGGCACGCGTAGCGCAGCGCGACCTCGGCGGGGCACGCCGGCGGGCGGCGCGCGTGACGCGGGCGCGTGCCGTGCCGACCCCCGGCCGTGGCTGTGCACACCGCGGGCTTGGGCTTTCCCGAGATGGGTGCGGAAAGAAGGGGTACAATGCCCAGGAAACCCAGAACTGGAGCAAGGACCGACTGTCCCGGCATACTTCAGGTCTACTGCCCTCAACCCTGGACGCCCGAAATGGGTTGTCCACACCGCGGGTCTGGACGCCCGAAATGGGTACGGAAAGAAGGGGTACAGTGCCCAGCAACAGATGCGGGGCGGGGACGGGCCAGTCCCTCAAGAGGGAGACGCAACTGTCACGCAACTTCTTCTCTATCAGTGGGGGCGTAGTCACCGAAACTGTGCAAGGATTTGGACGCCCGAAATGGGTACGGAAAGAATGGGTACAATGCCCCACAGCAGATGTTGTCCCAAACCAACAGCGGCCGCTGCTGGGCAGGCGGCCTTCTGTCTTGAGTGGACACGGGCCGCGGCGGCGTGGACAGCGAGCCCTCTTCAAAATGGACAGGATCCGCTGTCGGGCATTGCACCCATTCTTTCTGTGCCCATTTCGCTCGTGCAGAGCGGGGATCGTTCCGCCTTGAACGATCGGCCGTCTCCGAAACGTCAGATCGTTCAACGCGGAACGCCGGCGGCGGGATCGCCGCCTGCCGACACGGCGCGAACCTACCGTATTCGCCCTCTTGGGTCAGGCTGCCTTTTTTTCTAGCAGGTGGCGCTTATAGCGCCCTGGGACCCCTCGTTGCGAGGGCTCGCTAGTAGTTCCAGAAGGGCTTGCCAAACCCACCAGCGGAGGCTGAGACAGTAACATTGCAAAATCATCGAAGGGCATGCGCGCTTTCTGGCACATTCTGGGGCCGGCCAAATGAAGTCTAAATTCGTATGGGACGCATGATGGCGCCGCATCGCCAATGCATCGGCACCGTCGGGCTCGGAGAAGATCGGGCTCCAAATCGAGGCTCATCGCCGATGCATCAGCGATTCAGCGCGACCCACGAGTCTGGGATCCTCGAACTATGCTGCTGCTGCTGCTGCACTGTATTGCCAGAGAGCAGAAGGCATACGCTCATTATACGCACCACTACAGGCGACGTCGGTCAGTGGACGCATCCATGGAAGGAATCGAACAGGGCAAGACTGCGTCAACACGCAGGACCAGGACGATTATTTTACAATAACGTCGAGTCTGCGTGCCACGACGCAATCCTGCCGGAGGCGGGCGGGGCCGTCCACGGCCAGAAAAAGCCCCTGCCCTCGCAATACAGTTCAAGGGAGGATCACAGGAAACGCCACCCCGACCCCCACAATGGGTGCTCATTGAACAGACCTGGTCCGAGGCCCCGACGTCCGGAGGGCGCAGGTTCAGCTTCTCGCGAGCGCTTTGGGGACATACCGGCCTCGGTTTCCTGGCTGGTGCTATAATTGAAAATCTGGCTCACTTGTCTCACAAACCATTTTTGTATGTTTCAGTGGGACATGCACAAGGCTGTTTGTACTCACGCTTAGAAAGAGGATGCTGATGAGTAGGAGGAGAGAGATGAGGAGGAGGAGGAGGAGGAGGAGGAGGAGGAGGAGGAGGAGGAGGAGGGGAGAGAGATGAGGAGGAGGAGGAGGAAGAGGAGGAGGAGGAGGAGGAGGAGGAGGAGGAGGAGGAGGAGGAGGAGGAGAGGAGGAGGAGGAGGAGGAGGAGGAGGAGGAGGGAGGAGGAGGAAGGAGAGAGGCGGGCGCATGCTTGGAGACCTCGGCCACCAGGGGCCCGGACTCGGGCCCGTCGGCGCACACGAGCCGACGAGGAGCCGCTCTTCGGGCGGCGCCGGAGGAGAGAGTCCGCATCCGGCGCCCTGCCGTGGGCGAAAGAGGAGGCCACATGCGAACCCTGCACGTCGGTCGGAAGAAGTAGGTAAAAACATTAAGTAGGAAGGCGGATTAGTCGATTGGGTCCAGCCCCCCCCCCCAGGGAATAGCAAAACACAGCAAAAAGCGTGACGATTCTTGAAGTAGGAAGGCGCTTGAAATAGATTGGGATCTTGGAGTCCAAAAATACCTACTTTCAGCGACCGGCGTGTACCCCACCACCCCACGATTTCTAAGGGGGGAGGTGGGGTTCACTTCGCTCGGGATGTCTTGAGGGGTGGTGGGGTAGGGTTCGCATGTGGCCTCCTACAAAAACAATCAACACCGAACAGGGACGTCGGATCGAATCGGGACGTGCGTCGGATCCGCACGGACATCTCGGCTGCGCCAAAACTCACAACAGCTAAGACGAAGCCAGGACGAGGATCAAATCCGACGAGGGTAAATTTGGAATCTCTGAGATCGGGAGGTTCTGGAAGATGTCTCGGGCGTCGCGGCCTTCTCAGAGCGTTCTGGAACACTCTAACAGCGTTCAAGAACGTTCTGTAACGGATGTATCCCCGTCCTAGCCCCGCCCGGTGTCGGATCGGCACGAACGCCTCGGCTGCGACAAGACTTACCCAACCGCACCCTGCAAGCATCGGGACGCACCAAATCGGCGGAAGATCGGTAGCGAATCGGATCGGGCGGGCCGGAATCGATATCGAATCGCATCAGAATGAATGGAGAATCGAATCGATATCGAACCGAATCTGATCGTGGAGGTTCGATTCGATATCGAATCGATATCGAATCGAACCTGATCGTGGAGCCCGTGGCTTCTGGGTCACGGCTCGGGCCCCCTGCGCCCGTGCGGAGCGATGCCGGCACCTCCCCCCCCCCCTCGAACGCTCTCGGCGAGGCACGCCTGCTGGGAAGCATTCCGAGGCCGGAAAGCCGCCGAGGACCCATCGCAGCGCCCGAAGGCCTCGAACCTCGCACACCTCTCGGCGCGAGGCGGGCATGTACGAGCTGGAGTGTCGTCAAGTCCCTTGCTCAGTCCCCCGAGCCTCAGTCCTCAATCCTGAGGATCTTTTCAAACGCACGGGCCCCAAATTCTCCTGGGGCTCCCAGCGCGGCCTGGGGCGTCTTCCAGCATGACTTCTCTGGCCTCAGCGGGGCCCCGAGGAGGGCCACGAGGGCCCAAAAGATGCCTCTCAGACGGCCCAAGAGGGCCAGAGTCGCGAACGATCGGTCCAAAGCACGGTGGCGGGATAGGCAATGCCACAAGATTCGCCGCCCCGTGTTGGCTTGCCACAGGGCTGCACGGCCGTTCTGGGTCTTGATGAAAGGTTCCCAGTGGCCTTCGGCCTGATGCGCCAGCCACCTGGCAGGGCACAAGGTGTCTCCGGTCTGCCTCTCCACCCCGTCAGCACCTAAAAACTTCCAACGTCGTCGGTCTTCTCGCTCCAGACGGCCCCAAGACGGCCTCCAAGATGGCCAGGATCGCCTCCAAGACGGCTACAATGGCCCCAAGAACCAAGATGTCTCTAAGACGGGCCGAGATGCTCCCCAGACGGCCGAGGCCACCGAGATGGCCCCAAGAGCGCCCAAGATGCATCCGAGATGGCCCCTGACGGCTCAAGATGCTCCCAAGCAGGCCCCAAAAGGGCCCAGGATGTTTCCAAAACGAACGAGATGGCCTCCAAGGCGGGCCGGAAGTGCCCAAGAGGGCCCCAAGTCGGCCCAGAGAGTCCCCCAAGACGGCCCCCGACGGCGTCAGACGGGCCAGAAACGCCCTCAGACTGCCAAAGAGTCTCAAGGAGACTCCGAAGGCCCCAAGAGGCCCAAGGAAGCCCCCATGAGGCCTCCAAGAGGCCCCAAGGAAGCTCCCAGGGGGCCCAAAGATTGCACCACGAGGCTCCCAAGAGGCTCCCAAGAGCCCTCTCCCTCCTCCTCCTCCTTTTCTTCCTCCTCGTTGTTCCTCCCTCTCCTCTTTTTTTATTACATCTTCTTTTCTTTGTTTTATCTCTCTCTCTCGTGTTCCCAAGAGGGTTTCAACAACTGCTGGGGGAACACATAGTCCGATAGCTTGGCCGAGCTCTGGCCGCAACGTTCGGCCACATAGGCGCTTCCGAAATCACGATGCGGCTGCGATTCGCCGTAGGCGTCTTCGATGACGCAGGCCTTCTGCGTCCGTTCGGGACGATGCCAGCACCCACCGAACGCTCTCGGCCAGGGACAGCTGCTGGAAACCATCCCGAGGCTGGGAAACCGCCGAGGACCTTACGGAAGCGCCCGAAGACCTCGAGCGTCGAACCCCCCTCGATGCGAGGCAAGTCTGGAAGCGTTTGCGCGTCCTCGTTGCCCAGAGCCTCAGCCGTCAACCCTGGGGATCTTTGAGAGGGCATGGACCCCAAAATTCTCAAACCTCCTGGGCCTTGGGGCAGTGCAAAAGGGGGGTCACCACTAGGGGGGTCGCCACTTCCTCGGGGAAACGCCACTTCCTCGAGACTTCCTCGAGGAACTGGGCCCCCCAGAGCCCCGAAAACGCAAAGAAACGTCCAAGAACATCCTCGACCCCTCGACTCTCCATCCTGGAACCTCGATTTCCAGGAGAAGCTGGCGACCCCCCCAGTGGTGACCCCCCTTGGCACTGCCTGAGGCCCCCCAGCGCGCCCGTCGTCTGGCCCGGATCGACCTCCGGAGAGACCTCGGCGGGCGCTGGGCGTGGCTGCACCTTGGACCCCCCCAAACGGTGGCCGTGGACCGCCTCGGCTCGAACCTCGAACACCCCCTGGGCGCTCGAAAGCCTCCGACCCGGTGGACATTCATGTCGTCCGCTCTCGCTGGGTCCTCCTTCGACTCGTCCGCTTTCGATTCGTCGTCTATCGCTGCGTCTTCCCTCGACCCCTGGGCGAATGGTGAAAGTGCATGAGCCGAGGCGGACTGACAAACTCTGGACGAACCGAAGCGGACGCATCGAAGCGAGCGAAAGTACACTTGGACGACCTGAAGCGAGATCCCTCTCACCACCTCTCAGCGCTCCCGCGCGCGGCGCGCGGGCAGCGGCCGCGCGCGCCGCCCGAGCGCGCGGCGTCGCGGAGCGCCGGCGCGTTGAACAGCCCGAGCAGGACGCCCAGGGCCGCCTGACGGCAGCGAGGCCAGCGGCGGCGGCGACGGCGACGGCGACGACGACGACGACGGCGGCGGCGGCGGCGGCGGCGACACGCAGCGAGCTCGGCGACGGCGGTGACGGTGGCGGCGCCGGCGATGACGATGACAACGGCGGCGAAGGCGGCCGCCGCTTAGGCAAGGTGCAGCCTAGGATCAGATAAAACAGGGGTCTCTGAGACCTGGCGGCTCTGGAGGATGAATCGGGCGCTGCGGCCTTTCCAGGGCGTGCCATCTCGATGCTGGGCCTGACTGACCGCTCGCCGCCACGGCTGAACTCGTCTTGCAATTTCTCGCCAGGACGCGCCGCAGGACAGACCCTGCAGTTGACCTGGCGGCCTGGGGCACTGGGGGCGGAAGCGGCGGCTTCGACGACGACGGCGGCGACGACGAGGGAGAGAGGGAGAGAGGGGGGGGACAGAGGGGGATGAGGAACGGGAAGGAAGATTTAGGAGGGGGAGGATCAGGGAGGAGCAAGAAACGGGTTCTGAAGGTTCCAGGAACTGGGGCAGAAGAGGAACCAGGAGATGGAGGCGCAGCAGCAGCAGCCAGGTTCGAAAAGGAGGGGGGAAATTTGTCAAGGTGTCACAGCATACCTCATCAAACAATGTAGTTCACTTTGCCGAATGGCCAATGCGCTGGCCCAGTCTTGAGTATGTTCCTGCGCGCGCACCGCACACGGCAGCTGCAGTCTCGCAGCACATTCAGTGTAACAACGAGGCTCCATCAGTCCTCTACGAAAAACAACTTGAACCCAACACTGAGGACGGTGTCAAAGCAGATGCACCCATGAGAAGCAATTCTCACCACCCTGTGTTATCGTTCGCGCCAACAACCATAGCACATTCCGGAGGGGGAACACCACCTGACGAACCCCCATGTGATATCGTCGTGTTCAACAAATTGAAATAATTCCCGAGGGGGGGAATGGGGGGGAGCAGCGATTAATTTCAGGAATCGTCGGGAATGTTTAAAGGATCCCCCAGGACTCCTCAAGAATTAGTCGGGAATGATGTTGGACTTCTCCAGAAGCTTCAACAGTCCTCCTCCTCCTCCTCCTGCTCCCTGCTCTTGCTCTCTGCGTCTCCTCAAGCCTTCCTCGTCCCTCATTCCCTTCGTCACTCCCGCCGCCCTCTCGTCCTCCCTCCAGGGGGCCTGGAGTCCGCAGCCCGGGCGACCAGGAATCCAGAAAAACGCAAATGGGGATGACGATGATGAGGGGGATGGTAGATGAGGATGACTGGAAGGAGGAACAGGAGGAGGAGGAGGAGGAGGAAAATCCCCAATATGATATCACGTGGTGGTCCTACGTGCCCCTCCCTCCCTGCCTCCCTCACCCCGCAACTGGGAGCCTCGTAGATGGCGTGCTGCTCCAGCGCCTGGGATGTGCCCTGGTCCACGCCTGCGCCGGCGCGGAACGGCGGTGGAGCGGCGACGCCAACGAAGCGAAGAAGCCACATCTTCCCACGATGCCTGAAAATGAGCGGGGACCGACCGTCCTGGCACTCCTATAGGCCTACCACGACATGCCCCCATAACCAAAGAATGTTGGGAACAAAAACAATAACAGTGCTCTTAGAACATCAAGCCGATGTTCCGAAGCAAGACCGTTTCAACCAGAATTGTTCTACAGCGCATCCCGTGTAAGACACAACAATTCCTCAGTGCAGTCTGGGTGGGCCAAGAGGCGAGCCGAGACGCTTCGCCTCTGCCAGACCGACGCTTCGATCAGGGCGCCTCCTTCTCTTGGTGTAGCTCCTCGTGCTCCGCTTCCCGCAGCCACCGTGCTGCCGCGAGGAGCACCCGACACGGGAAACGAGCGAGGCTCTCTGGCCACGGGGAGCCTCGGCCACGAGCGGGCGCCCCGACCCGGACTGGCCAAGCCAGCCCAGCCCTGCCATCGCTCGGACGTCCGTGCCCCGTGCACGCGTCGGTGTCGCGCGAGTTGTGTGTTTTCCCTCGAGCCCTGGATGCTCCCCGATGGCCCTCGCCAAGGAGAGATACACACGTCCGAGCGATGGCCCTCCTGTCCCCAGGGTGATCCTCATATCCGCGCCATGGCTCTGAAAATGGAGGAAGAAAAGATGCCGTCGACGACCAGATGCACGGTTTCCCCCAGGTCCGTAGGGAAAACCGAGGAGGAGGAGAAGGATGAGGATGAGGACGAGGAGGAGGAGAAGGTGGAGGAGGAGGAGGAGGTGGAGGAGGAGGAGGTGGAGGAGGTGGAGGAGGAGGAGGTGGAGGAGCAGTGGAGGAGGAGGTGGAGGAGGGGAGAAGGAGGAGGAGGAGGAGGAGGAGGACGAGGAGGAGGTGGAGGAGGAGGAGGAGGAGGAGGAGGAGGAGGGCGGAGGAGGAGGGGCAGGGGGAGGAGGAGATGGAGGAGGGAGGAGGAGGTGGAAGGAGGAGGGAGGAGGAGGAGGTGGAGGAGGAGGTGGAGGGGGAGAAGATGGAGGAGGAGGGGGAGGTGGAGATGGAGGATGAGGAGAAGGAGGAGGAGGAGGAGGAGGGTGGACGAGTCGCCAAAGCCCTTCGGAGAAACCCTACACGACCAGGAGCAGCGCTGTTGGTTGGAACAGCCTTGCGTTGGGACCGCCATTTCCTTGCGGGGTTCAGCGCCCCGGATCGACCAGGTCGACGAGCTGAAAGGCACCCTGCTGGCACTGCCTTGGGAAGCACAGAGGCATATTAGTCAGAGTGAGGGGGCCGAACGGTCATTCACTGTCCCTGGGTGCGTGGCTGAAATGGGATTCCGCGGTGCGGATTCGTGTTCTTGTTTGTTGTTGTTTGTTGTTGCTTGTTGTTGTTTGTTGTCGTCGTCCCACCCGCAACCCGCCCCGCGACCCACCCACGACCCGCCCCGCGACCCACCCGCGACCCACCCGCGACCCACCCGCGACCCACCCGCGACCCACCCGCGACCCACCCCGCGACCCACCCCGCGACCCACCCGCGACCCACCCGCGACCCACCCCGCGACCCACCCCGCGACCGCACCCGCCACCCGCCCCGCGACCCACCCCGCGACCCACCCGCGACCCACCCGCGACCCACCCGCGACCCACCCGCGACCCACCCGCGACCACCCGCGACCCACCCCGCCACCCACCCGCGACCCACCTTCGACCCAAACCACGCTCAAGGTACAAACCAACATTTTGGGCGCATGCGGCGGGCTTTTTTTGCATTCCGTCCAGGTGCAGAGCCCGCGACCCACCCCGCGATCAACCCGCGACCCAAACCACGTTGAGGGTACAAACCACATTTTTCGGCGCCTGCGGCGGGCATCTTTTGCATTCGTTCTAGGTGGAGAGACCGCGGCCCACCCGCGACCACGTTAAGGGTACAAACCAATCTTTTCGGCGCCTGCGGCGGGCATCTTTCGCATTCGTCCCCGGTGGAGAACCCGCGGCCCACCCGCGACCCATACAAACCAATTGTTTCGGCGCCTGCGGCGGGCTGCCCTTGCAGGAGGAGGAGGAGGAGGAGGCGGAGGAGGAAGGGGACGGCGACGACGACGACGTCGACGACGACGACGACGAAAAGGAGGAGGGGGGAGGATCGGGAGGGGGGGAAGAGGAGAAGACAACGAGGAACATGAAGACAATGGAAGGACGATGATTGAAGGACGAGGGGGGGAGAGGGAGGACGAGGAAGAAGAGGAGGAGGAGGACGAGGTGGAGGAGGAGGACGACGATGACGATGACGACGAGGACGAGGAAGAAGAGGAGGAGGCGGAGGAGGAGGAGGAGGAGGAGGAGGAGGAGGAGAGCGCCATCGACAGGGAAGGTGGGGGCCACGAGGTCCGCCGGCTCGACGACGCCCGCGTCGCCCGCGCCCGCCCCCTCACTCTTATCCGCAATTGCGGGGTGCTACGTATTATATGTTTTCCTGGATGCGCACGTCTGATTACAACGTATAGTACACCGATCCTGTAGTCTATCGTTTCCCGAACGGTGTGGCCAGAAAGCGCTCGCCACGACGCAGATGCTATAAGATTTCTCGGTTCGCGCGTCGCCCCTGGGGGGGGCGTATAAGTATGTTGGGGTGACGCCGCGTGACGCCGATGCTTCGTGCTTCATTCGGGGGCGTCCAAGAGGGAGGCGTCCAAGAGGGGGAGGCGCAAATCATGGCCGACGGCGTGTGCGCGGCCCAGGGGGGGGGGCAGGGACGTACTGAAAGAAGAAAGGGCGCCACGAAATCTGGGGAGATATCATGGTGCCTGTCATGATGTCCCCTTCCCATCATCCCCCTCGTTGGCCAAGAGGGGGGTGTCCAAGAAGGGGGGGTGCAAATCATGACCGGCGGCATGTGCGCGGCCCAGCGGGGGGGCCAGAGACGTAATGAAACAAGAAGAGGCGCCATGAGACCTGGGGAAACATCATGGCCCACGCCAAGATATCCACCCCCCCTAGTCGTCAACCCCCTCTTTTCCGCCCCCGACCCTCGAATCTGCCCCCTGGTTTCCGGGCCACAACTCGGCTCTCTGGCGGTCGTTCGGGGCGATTCGGGCACCCCCGGAGCGCTCTCGGCGCGGCACAGCCGCTGGAACGCACCCCGAGGCCGGAAGGCCGCTGAGAACCAACGAACACGTCCGAAAACCCCAAACCTCAGACCTTCAACCTGAGACAGTAAACCTCAAACCTGAAAACCTTAACGTTTTCCTTGTAGACGTCTCCTAGATCCTACAATCCTGCATGGAGTCCGAGTAGATGGAGGCGGAGATTCGACCGCATCGCCGCTGCATTGGCGACGTTTGCGATGCATCGGCGACGTCGGCATGGAGAAAGTCGAGCTCCGCATCGAGCCGCATCGCCGATGCGTCGGCGACGCGGCCCGATCCTCCGACTCCATTAATTCGGATCCCAAATGGGAGGCCTAGAATAACTCAGCTCTCCGGCGGCCGCTCGGGGAGATCCGAAAACCCTCTCGGCGAGGCGCAGCTGCTGGAAGGCATCCCGAGGCTGGCAAACCGCTGATGACCGACAAAACGACCAAAAACGTCGAACCTCGACCTCAACCCCCTGGGCACATCCCTCCCTAGCGCTGCTCCTGCAAACCCAGACATGCGATGTCCTGATTTGTTCAAGACGGTGTCGCTAAAGGTCCCGACCCTTTCCTTGACAATTTTTCATCCTGGATGATTAGTTGACGGTCCCGGGGCACGCTAAAGGCCCTCGGAGGCCCAAAACGGCCAAAAACCTCCCGCCCTGATTTTGCTCAAGACGCGATCATGTTCGGAGAAAGGACGAGAACGCAGGAGAGCTCACGATCGAATAAACAAGCTGGATCGGCGAACGAACTGAATCGGATCGTCGGAGAATGGCAGGCGTGGAAGGCCTCCGTTATGACATCAAAATCCGAATCGGCACCACCAATCGAATCGAATCGGAATCGGGAGCCCTCGAAGCCGAATCGAATCGAGCCAGAGGAACCGAAACAAGCCCTGACAACGTCCCAAAGACGACGAGGACAGGGGAAATCAAAAGGTACCGATAAAGCGACAGTCGGCCCGTGCCAGAAGGATAGGCCGTAAGGATACAAGGGCCTTGGACGCCCATTTCGAAGCTTCTCGAGCGGGGCGCGGCCAACGAAGGTGGTCAAGGATGGACCGAGGAGGCGAGGGGTGCAAGGGTACCCTTGGGAAGGTTGCCCAGCCTTACTCTTCTCCCGTGGGTTTCGCGGAATCGCCCGTATATTGTGGCTCCCACAGGCTTGGAACTTGTGCCTGGCTGTCACTGGTCCTCCAGACTGGAACCTAAACTGCTACAGTGAAACATACGATACCAGTGACAAGTGAACCCCTGGGAAGGTTGCCAATCCTTGCCATGCGGGTTGACTGTACTCCCCGGACTCTTCCCCGCGTTGCCTTACAGCCAGCACTTCGGGGCGAAGCCCGCGGTGGCGACGAGGACCCTCCAGGGAGGGCGCAGAAGGGGAACATGGGCGAAGGCTAGAGGCGACGACGACGTCGACGACGACGTCGTCGACATCATTGATGTCGACGTTGTCGACGGCGACGTCGTCGTCGACGAGGGGGTCTTGGGACACAGGCGAAGGGTTAGCGGCGAGGATGTCGACGACGACGACGACGACCACGTCGTCGCAGCCGTCGACGACGACGACGACGACGTCGACGTCCCGAGACCTCGACGTCGCCGTCGACGACGACGACGACGTCGACGTTGACTTCGACGACGACGACGACGCCGACGTCGGCGAGGACGCCCCGAGACCTCGGCCGCCCAGGGCGCGGCGCGGCGGCGCGGCGGGGGCGGCGGCGCACCCCGCGAGCGCAGCGCCCGGCCGTCGGAGGGCCACGGCCCGCCGCTGCCCTCGGGCTGCGCGGGCACGGGCGGCGGGTTCTCCAGCAGCGCCTCGGGGAGGGGGGGGGGCAGGAGCGCACCGCCTCAAGGGAGCCCGTCCGGGGGCCAATGTCCGCTTCCCCTCATGGGGGCTATAACCAAGCACTCAAGGAATCATACATCGCCCACAAGCTAGCCGGAGAGCGTCGCACGAGCACGAGCCGACCGTCTTGCGATCGCTCTGGTGCGAGCTCGGATCATGCTCTCGACTCCGCCGGGGCCTTGGCGATCCTGTATCCGGAGTGTGTTGTAAACAGAGAGAAGGATATCATGAATCAGGAGACCAGCGTGCAGCCCCTCCATCGTTAGAGAGCTAAGATCATGTACGAAAATGCGTCGCGAGAAATCCCATTGAGGATAGCAACGGGGAAGGGGACGGAACAGACGACACAAGGGGGAGACAACGAGGGGGCAACTAAAATAATGATCGATCCTGTCTCCCGCCTCCACGCCGCAGCCAAACCTGCACGGTCGTGTGCACATCCTGTACCTGCGTGTGGTCGGCCATCCATTGCACACAGACTTAAGGATGGCAGTGCAAACGAATGGCCCGAACTTCTGGGAGGCGAGTTTCATATTTAAAATTACACGTTCGGCAACAGGCATGGGGGCCCCAGGGAGAAAATAACGAATCCTAGGAAGCAGGAGACTGGCAGCGCTGGGGAGGTTCAGAAGTCGAGCAAGACATGTCGTAACCTTCGCCTGGACGTCGGGGATCTCCTCTTGGCCTAGCTCTGGGCTCATGCTGACGATGCTGTTGTAAGTTTGGATCATGTTGTATGTGATACTCGATTCAAGCCAGTCTCGATGACGAGGGATTGCCATAACATCCACATCATAATGCCGTATACGATGAAAACGGGCCTGGGCGTCACCAAACTCACGACTGTTGGCCGCAGCGCGGAACATGGCAGCACGACAGCTCGGAGACAGGGCTCGGGGAGCCACCCGAATACCCAAAGAGTCAGTCTGCCGCAGAAGGTTAGAAGGTACAGCATGATAAAGGGCCCGCTGTGAGTCGTTGCAAACAGATGTGCTCGGCGTCGTGGATACTCTTGGGGACGGGGTACAGTTGGCTGACATGAGAGAGCACAGGGCAAGCAAACACATTATATGCCTGTATATTCTGCGCCATGCTCAGCAAGGGGGGGGGGCAGGAGGGGGAGGAGGAGGAGGAGGAGGAGGAGGAGGAGGAGGAGGAGGAGGAGGAGGGGGAGGAGGAGGAGGAGGAGGAGGAGGAGGAGGAGGAGGAGGAGGAGGGGGAGGAGGAGCCTCTTCCTCCCGTGCGTGCGGCGGGGGCGGAGGAGGAGGAGGAGGAGGAGGAGAAGGAAGAGGAACAGGAGGAAGAGGAGGAGGAAGAGGAACAGGAACAGGAGGAGGAGGAGGATCACCAACACCTGCGCGGACCTCCGAGATTTTATGTTTATGCCACTTTTTGTTCCCCTAGTTCCACGCGGGGCAAGGCGCGTGGGCTGCAGCCCTCACATGTCGTCCTTCTTCTGTGCGGGATCAGATGGATCAGATCCAGATGCTCTTCGATTTCCTGCAAGATTGTGCCATGATTCGTGGACTCCATTTGACAATAGAAACTTCTGAGTATCTGACCAACGGCACTTGGGTCGTCCATGGGATCTCCGTGAACACTGCGGCTCCCATTCGCAGAGACCGAGGCTGCGACGATCTCGGGAGAAGACTCGGGGCTCCGCCGTCGAAACGAGGCACCAGCACTCCTCGACAGATAGGCGCCAGCGACGATGCCCTCCCGAAAAGTTCCGCCGCGAGGAGGAGGAGGAGGAGGAGGAGGAGGAGGAGGAGGAGGAGGAGGAGGAGGAGGAGCCTCCTCCTTCCTCCTATGAGGCGGGGGATGGGGAGGCCCTTTTTCCACAACCCTTTACGTCACTCCCCATTGCCACCCGCCCGAAAGTGACGCGGTAAGATGGGGTCTGGGGCTCCGGTCGTGAACTTTCGCGGCGCTGCTTTCTTGTTGACCGCAGCGTCGGATCGCATGGGCAGGCTTTGCAGGCAAGGTGTGTATCTATCTCCACTGCGACTTGGACTCTCTGGGAGGGAGCTTCAGGAGGCCGAGGCCCAGTGGATCTGAAGAGTAGAAGCCTAGCCTCTAGTGGCCAGGTGTTCATCCACACCCACTGCGCTCCGGGCGTCTTGGGAAGGGGAAGGGAGCCCGAACCTGGCCAGAGGCGGTGGATGTGAACATACATCCTGCCAGCAGGCTTCGCCGCGCGCTCGCCCACGGGCGGCATGCTCGGGCTGCTTCAGGCTGCCTCAGGCGCGCCAGTCGCTGCCGCCGTCGTCGCCGCCGTCGTGGAGGTGCTCGCCGTGGCCGCCCTGCTCCTGGGGCTACCGACCGCAGCCGCCGTTGGCGCCGCGGGGGGCGCTGGCCGGGGCAAGAAAAAAAGCGGCGGCGCTCTCATGCCACTTCCCTGCACCGTCACCGCGCGAGCAGTGCGCTCTTCCGCCTCCCTGCGCGCCTGCCGGGGTGCCAATCGCTGGGCACCCGCGCCGAGTATCGACGTCGCCGAGATTGCCGTGGCCTGGGCCCCAAGAGGCCCCCGACAGGCCCCAGCACACACCCCAGGACGCTCTCCGGGAGGCCAGCGAGATGCCCCAAACATACATGTCATGTTCCCCGATTCGGCTTTGCATGAAACGGTACGATCGACATGTGTACGGAATTACGGGGTACAAATACCGCTAGCATGTCCTGTTGACTTTGGACCAGGATCGCTTTCGGTGTCGCAGCAGACGTTGTCCATTTGAGACCGAAGGTCACCTGCCCAACAGAGGCAACTGTCTGTTTTCGACAACAGCTCCCCAGGGCTGCTTGGCCTTGCCTCTTCACTGATCTTGAAAAGGCCTTCCCCTGGTTGCTTGGTCTTGTTCCCTTACTGCTTTTGACGGGGCCTTCCCCAGGTTGCTTGGCCGTGCTCCCTTGCTATTGCATGCTTCCATACTGTTTTAAGGAGGCCTTCCCTGGTTTGCTTCGTTTTGTCTCTTCACTATCTCGGAAGATGCCGTCCCTTGGTTGCTTGGCTATGCTTCCTCACTGTTCTTGAGCAGGCATGCGCCAGGCTGCTTGGTCTAGAAATCTTACTGTATTTGAACGGGCCGTCCCTGGGCTACAGCTTTTGAAGAGGCCTTCCCCGGATTGCCAGACCTTGTTTCCTCTCTGTGTTCGTCTGGAAAGCATTTAATCGGTTGCTTGGTCTTGGTTCCTTACTGTCTTTGAAAGGGCCTTCCTCGGGTTGCTTGGCCTTGCTTCCTTACTGTCTTGGAGGAGGCCTTTCCGGGATGCTTGGTCTTGTTCCTGCAGTAGTGCTGAAGAGGTATGGGGCTTGCTGTTGCTTTTGTTTCGCACAAAGTCGAGCAACACAAAGCAGCGCCAAGAAATGCCAAGCAATGACAAGTAATGCCAAGCAATGTCACGCAACGCCAAGCAACACACAGCACTGTCAAGCAATTGCAAGCAATCCCAATCAAAGTCAAGCAACGCCACGCAATACAAAGCAAAGCCATGCAATACCAAACAATGCAATGCAATGTCACACACAACAGTACTAAGCAATGCCAAACAATGCTGCTTAGGAAACGCTCTTCTAATTTGGGCCACGCTAGGGAATCATGTTGTTATTGTTTCATTTTTGTCCGCGCTCTTCGGCCAAAGGTCGGTCCACTTGCGGTCTCCGAGGCCCAAAGGCGCCCACTGAGAGCCCAAAAGGGCCCCCCTAGTCGGCCCAGGATGCCCCGAAGAGAGCCCCAAGCTGGCCCGAAGAGGGCCTCCGGAGATACCCAAGACGGCCGAGGAGGGTCCATGACGAGCCCAGAAAGCCCAGACACGGCCCCAAGAGACTGTCAGACGGCTCAGAGGGCCCCCAGTCGGCCCGCCCAGTAAGGCCTACATTGTCATGACGGCCTGAGAGGACGGCCCAAATATTCCAAATGCGAGTTCCCCAAGAAGTAGAAATGCGAGGTGTCACGTGTGACGGTCTTCTGGGCGGTGCTCGAAGGGTCGCCGCACAGTGCTTCGCTGGAGCGGTGGCACATTTGCCAATCGGACACCTTGAACCCACCATGGTGGACGGCGACGACGACCATGGGCTGCGTTGTATCCCGGACCGATTTCTGACAGCCCCCCCCGAACAGTAATATTAAGTCGGGCATATCCCCCTACAGGCGGATTTTGGGCGATAAATTACAAATGCTTAGGAAAATAAGCAAAAATATTTAAAAAATAGTGAAAACGCACATTTTTCATCTAAGATTCGCCCTGAAGAGGGGCACGCCCGATTTAACAGCAATAAGGGAACAGGCTCAGGCTCGAGCCTCCACGACAGTAACGAGGACGGCTGGCGGCGGCGGCGGGTGGTCACGGGCCATCGCCGACTGGGGCCCGATAGCCCACCCTAGGGGAACAAAAAGTAACGTAAACATAAAAAATCGAAGGTCCGCGAGGATTTCTCGGATCGGCACTGGACCCCCCTCCCTGGCGCGCGGAGCGCGCCAGGGGCGGCGCCGGAGGCGCCGCAGGCGCCGCCGGGGGGGCCCTAGCGCCGATCCGAGAAATCCGCGCGGACCTCCGAGTTTTTATGTTTATGCCACTTTTTGTTCCCCTACACCCTGCCCAGGAGCGTGCGGATGCGCTTTCGGAGGTCCGTCGCCGATCTGTCGGCGAGGCACCGCCGATGCCAGGTCGACACGCTTCCCGCCCTGAGCAGGTCCACCTCGTCGCTCCCCGGCAGCGGACACAAAACGAGGACCGACCTCACCGCCACCAGGGGCCACGAGCGGGGGGAGCCAGGGGCGGCCCCCCTGGCGGTGCGGTGCCCCCCGCTCGCTCGAGCTGCCCCCGATCCCCAGCTCGGGGAGGCATCGCGGGCCTCCTCGCTTGAGGTGGTCCCCCTGGAGGTGGTGGTCTCCCGTCCCGCTCGCCCCAATCGCCCATTCATCGCCGATAGAGGCCCGGCAGCCCACCCAGACCCACCCAGGAACGCGCGGATTCGCTACCGGGGGCCCATCGTCGAGCTGCCGGCGATGTGTCGCCGATGCAGTCAGCCCGCACCAGAAGGATGCGCGACAAGGATGCACAGGGCCCTGGACGCCCCTTTCGAAGCCTTCCGAGCGGGGCGCGGCCAACGAAAGTGGCCAAGGATGGGCCGAGGAGGCAAGGGCGCACGGGTAAGGAGGAGGAGGAGGAGGTGGGAAGGATGAGAGGATGAGGGAGGATGAGAAGGAAGAGGAGGAGGCGGAGGAGGAGGAGGAGGAGGAGGAGGAGGAGGATGAGGGGAGGGGGAGGGGGGAGGGGGAGGGGGAGGGGGAGGGGAGGGGGGAGGGGAGGGGGAAGGTGCCGGGTGGAGGATGAGGAGGTGGAATGGGAGAGGAGATGGAGAAGGAGGAGGAGGAGGATGAGGAGGAGGAGGAAGGAGGAGGAGGAGGAGGAGGTCGTCGTCGATCTATCGGCGTCCTTCCCCGCTGGGTAGGAGGGGCGGCCCCGCGGCGCGGCTGCGGCGCGGCGCCATCAGAGCGTCCAGCGGCATCGGCTGCGCCGCGCGGGCGGCATCCACGTCCACGTCCGCACCCGCGGCGGGCTCTGGGTCGAGGCCGAGCAGCATCTCGGCGCGGCACCCTCCCTCTTGTCGTTCTCACTTCTCCTCCTCCTCCTCCTCCTCCTCCTCCTCCTCATCATCATCATCATCCTCATATCATCCTCATCCTCATCCTCATCCTCATCCTCATTCATTCTCCTCCTCTCCGCGCTGCGTTGCGCTCTGCGCGCTCTGCGAGCTCGCGGAGCGCCCGCGGCGCTCGCGGCGCGGCGCTGCGCTTGGGGGGGACTCGGCGTGGCGCGCCTTCGCGCCGAGGCGCGAGGTCGGCACGTCGTCGGCGTCGTCGGCGTCGTCGTCGGCGTCGTGATCGTCGGCGTCGGGTCGGCGTCGGCGTCGTCGTCGGCGACGCCGTCGTCGTCGGCGGCGACGCCGTCTTCGTCGGCGGCGACGCCGGCGTCGTCGTCGTCGGACGTCCGTTACGGGGGGGAGGGCAAGGGTCGAGCCTGCGAACGCCACAGCATGAGTGTGAACACCACAGCACGCATACCAACACCACATAACGCCTGCGAGTACAACGCCGTGCCTGTTGGGGAACCGACGCCCCCGTTGCGGGAAAGGGCCCCCCCCTTAACGGATGTTACGGGGGCACCGACCAAGGAACAATCTCCCTCGCACCAAGGGTTATGTCGGGCATGTCCCCCTACAGGGGGATCTTGGGTTGAACATAAAAAAAGATAGTCAAAATGCACCAACTGGTCAAAAGATACTCAACACTTCGTCCCCAGACTATCGTTTGACTATTTTGGAATACCCCCCCCGTAGATGGCCAGGCCCGACTCACACCAAGGGCCTCAGCGCGGAGGGGGCGAGTCCTGCAAGAACCGCGCGGACGCTGCCACGCGTCAGGGCTCCGTGGATCGGCGGTGGACAAACCTCCCTTTCGTAAACCTCCCCTTAGTGAAAACGGCCTGGGACAGAAAAACCGACGGACCTGGACCCGCACGAATGACGGCCGCGACGCCCTCTCGCGAACCGAAAACGGGGCCAATTCACTAATCGACGTGTCAGGGTGGGAGGTCTCTGTCCACCCCCGGGTGGACCTGGCGCGGGGCAGGGGCGCCACCCGACAGGGCCACGGAGCGCGCCGAGCCGGCGCCCAGCCGGGACCCGCTGCCGAGCGAGCGCTCTCTTGTTCGGCGTCTCGACGTGGGGCGGCAAGGGGGGGGAGGGGAGGCCATCCTATGGGGCCCCAATGCGAACCCTACCCCTACCCCCCACGATTCCTGAGGGGGAGGGCGGGGTTCACTTCGTTCGGAAACTCCCGAATGAAATGATCCCCACCCTCCCCCTCAGAAATCGTGGGGGGTAGGGGTAGGGTTCGCATTGGGCCCCCTACATCCGTGCTCGCCCCCCTTCGCCTCCGGCCGCGCGGGGGGCGCCGAGAACACCTTGGCATCTCTGGACGCGCCGTGGTCGCTGACCTGGTACCGCCCGCTCCTCCTCGCCATGGCTCAGCTCGGATGTCCACTCGTGAGCGTTTTTGTTTACTCGGCATTTCGACATTGGGCGGCAAGGAAGGGGTGGGGTCTGGCTCCGGACCTCTGCTCAGCGCGACTGTTTGCAGCCTTGCAGCCGTGCGTCGTATGGGGCAAGGGGCCCCACCTGCTCGAAACGGGCGCCGAAAACAGCCAAGGTCCATGAGGGCTGGGGGAAGGGGGTGCGATGGCCGGCCCCGATCGGCAAAACGATGCATAAAAAACGACCCCTAACCCACGCACGTTCTTCCATGTTTGCACTTCCTCGCACGAGGTGGGGCCCGACAGCTTTCGGTCGCTCTCGGGCGCCCGCCTCGTGCGCGGAAGAGAGTGCCCGACGAGGCGAAGGTGCTGGTTTCGGCCATGAGCGACAGGAACGTGCTGGTCCTGAAGGACACTCGGTTCCCAAGGGCTCCCAACTTCGCGCTTCGCGTTGCGCGAAGCGCGAAGTGCGAACAACTTCGCGCTCTCGCGCCTAAGAGGAGGATGAGGAGGAATCGGAGCCGAACCGCGAAGCGTGAATAGCTTCGCGCCCTCGATGGCGCCCTTGGGTTCCACAAGGGGAAGACCAAGTGCGACTCCGCGCAGATGGAGGCGGGCCCCAGCGCCCCACGATGACGTGCTGGTCCTGGGGCTGGCCCGTTTCGGGATGCGTGTGGCTCTACAGTCGAGGCGTTGACTTACGGAACCCAAAATAAGGAACGAGGCCCCTTTTTCTTCCATACATTGAACTTCGATCCACCATCCAAAACCTAAGGACAACCCAAGGCAAGCTGCGAAACAATTGAGGAACACGGAACCCCTCCCCAACAAGAAGGGTTCGTTCCTTGTTCAGCGCCCCGACCGTAAGAACATCATGATGCGGCTGGCTCTAAGAGTGCCCCGAGAAGCCATCCTCCTCCTCCTCCTCCATCTCCTTCACGCTCGCACTGAGAAGGCCAACGGAGCAACGAAGCACTCGTGTGCTACTTTCCTCCCGACGGGCGAACATGCTCCAGGGTGGGCCAACATTTCGGACACTGGCCTCGCCGAGAAACTGACTACCTACCAAACCACCCCAACCCAACCACCAGAAGACCCGAATCTCGCCCGAATTTCGGACTCGGGGGGGGGGTACGGGTTCGATGTGCTTTTTCAAGTTCCCCGCCCCCCCCTCCTGGAAATGGAGGGCACATTGAGGCCTTCGGGTTGGGTTGGGGTGGTTTGGTGGGTGGTGAGAAACGTGCGCACGTCCGAGCGATGCCGCACCTCTGAGAGGCCCCTCTCCTCCGCGGCGATGAGGGCGTGGTCGGAACTGCGGGACGGTGCCTGCCGCAGGGGCCTCTGGGCCCACAGATGGCCTCGGCTCTCCAAAGGGCCCCTGCGTCGTACTCCAGGGGCGGGGACAGGCCACTCCCTCGAGAGGGAGATGCAACTGTCACACAACTTCTTCTCTATCAGGGGGGGCGTAGTCACCGAAACCGTGCAAAGATTTGGACGCCCGAAATGGGTACGGAAAGAATGGGTGCAATGCCCAACAGCACATGTTGTCCCAAACCAACAGCGACCGCTGTTGGGCAGGCGGCCTGCAGTCTCGAATGGACACAGGCCGCGGCGGCGTGGACAGCGAGTCCTGTTCAAAATGAACCAGATCCGCTGTTGGGCATCGTACCCATTCTGTCCGTGCCCATTTCGTTCGTGCAGAAAGGACATCTGCCCGAGAGTGTCCGACGAACCCGGCGCCTCTCGGTCTCAGCACCCGCGACGTGCCTGCGGGCCGTGGAGCAGCCAACATAGTCATTCATAGGTCTGGTCATCGCTGTCTAAAGGACCCAAGAAGCATTGAATTGCTGCATCTGAAGACACCCTCCTCGTCGAACTCCTGCCACTCATGCCAGTCAGGAGGTTGCTTGACTCTGGCGACACGGGCTTTACGCTGAAGCCGAGCAAAATCCAGCCTTGGAAAAAGCGGCAGGACAGCCCGCAACACTTTCGCACAGTCGAGGAAGAGCTTTACCCGCAGATCCAGCCCAGCCAGATCAGCAGCTGAGGCCTGAGGGTGGAGGGAGAGAGCATGATTCGCCAATCTGTCGGCGTCGGCATTTCCGAGGGCGCTTCGGAAAGGCGAGGATGACACAAAGAGGCGAGATAGAGAGGGGGACTCCGGGGCGGAGGGAGCGGGGCAAAGGCGAAAGAGGAGGATGGGGAGGACAGGGAAGGGAGAGGTGAGGAGGGAGCCGGTGGAGAAGAGAGGAGGGGCGAGGCAGAGCGAGGAGGACCAAGGACCACCGGGAGCATCATCGGGCACGGTGGACCCCCCGCCACCGCGCGGCAAGCGGTAAGGAGGTGCCCAGGAAGGCGAGGCGAGCCAGAGCCCAGGGCTGCCCCACCCCTGCGCAGGGCCTGCGCCAGCTTGGGCGCCTCTGCCTCCGCCTGCGCGGGCGGGCGCGGGGCGGGGGGGCGTGCTCTCGTGTGCGTGCGCGTGCGTTTCGGGACTGACCCCGTGGGAGGGCCTGGCGTCCCGCCACTGCGTGAGCTGGCGCGGCCCGCGCCCCGCCTCTCAGCCCTGCCTGGACTCCACTGTGCCGCCGCGTGCGTGGCCGGGACACTAAAAAGTGCGTGTGTCTGCGATGCTTGAGGGCCTGGCCGCCGCGCGCACTGTCTTTCCGCTTTCCCCGCCTCGTCGCCGCGCGCGAGGCCGCTACCGCCAAAAAATGTGTGTGTGTGTGTGTCAATGTGTCTGTGTGTCTGTGTGTGTATGTCCGTGTCCGTGTCCGTGTCCGTGTCCGTGTCCGTGTCTGTGTCTGTGTGGTTGCTTCCGGTGCTTCGGGTGATTACCAAGCACGGGCATACACACCTCACCGGCCACCGGCCTGCACAGCGGCCCGCCTAGGCCCAAAAGCGGGCCGGGGGTGAGATCCTCAGCCGGACGCGCGCGTTCGTGTGCGCGCGCACCTTTGTGTGTGTTTCTCCACTTCCTGCCGTTCGCTTTGCTTGTCCCTCACCCAAGGGCCGCCCATCTGGGCCCGAGCGCGCCTAACACACGTGCGTGTGCAGTTCGTGTGGCGTCTGTCGCCCCATACTTTGCGATGGTGATGGACATCGCTGGGGGCGCCGCTGCCGCTTAGGTGTTCCATTCTCCATGCGTCCGTGCGGCCACGAACTCGCGAATCCGCGCACACCTTGTTTTGTCGATTTGAACGCTAATTTTCAGCGCTCTGAAGACAAGATCAATATAAGGGCCGGCGATGGCCTGGTCTTGAACAAATCAGCTCCTGCTTCTCACAGTACAGCATGACCCTAAGGGCCAGCAGTGGTCCAAACTTCGGTCCAAACGTTCTCAATCGAAACACAAAACAACATCACACTATGTTGATATCCGGCTATGGTTTCAGAGAAGTTCATTCGAACAAACGGCCCCAAACACGCAATCACCTTGACGCTCGGCCATGGTCCAGTTAATTTTCCCCGTGCGCGTTTTCCTGTCGATCGCCATGCGAATGGTGCACACTCAAGAAACGACTCCATCTAAGGCCCAATTACGGTCCGTCGATGGCCCGGGCTGGGACAATCATGTTTCTGACAAGCAGAATGACACTAGGGGCCAGCTATGAGCCACATATCGCTCCTGGCATTAACAGCTGATCCAAAATCGCGAACTGTGTCGAACAGAGAACCGCAACTCATGAAAGGGGAACGGAACTCCCAAACTGCCGCTGCAGATGCGGCCGACCTCCTCGACCGACATGGAACGGACGGCAGACGGCGATCGGGGACGGAGGGAGGGGGGATGCAGGACGCAGCATAGAACCTCGAAGCATCTGAAAACGCGAGGGCAACTACATAAAATGAAAAGAGGCAGCGTGATAAATCACCAGCGCTCCAGGCGGAAAGCATTCGACAGAAAATGCTCATCGGGGAGGGGAGGCCATCGAGGAGGGAGGAGGGAGGGAGGGAGGAGGAATAAGAGTGTACGTTTAGGTCGGGCGTGTCCCCTTACAGGCGGATGTTGGACGATGAATGAACAATACTAGAAAAATGCTAAACCAATGCTTGAAACAATTGGAAAATCGTCTCCTGACTGTTTTGAGTAATTTTGAGTACTCCTCCTGTAGAGGGTCATGCCCGACTTAAAATGTGTGTGTGTGTGTGTGTGTGTGTGAGCGTGCTGCCTCTGGAAGCCCACTGCAACCTCCGCAGAGGCAGATGGGCACCGCACCGCATGTGCCTGCGGAAGCCGCAGCCCCTCCCCTCCGGGAGCGCTGCTCAAAAGGCCTATTCCGCTGGGCGCCCGAGTTATCCGGGGAAGCTCGGGTCCGGGGCAACTCGGCATCATCATCACCATCATCACCATCATCATCATCATCATCATCATCATCATCATCATCAGCATTATCAGCAGCATCGGCATCACAATTATCATCATCATCAGCATCATCAGCATCAAAATCCTAATCATCCTCACGTTCACCCATACCACCATCATCATGATTTTCAGCCACATAACAGGCGCCGGTGTCACCATCACCATCACCAACAACATCATTATCAGCATAAGCATCATAAACAGCATCATCGTCATCATCAGCATCGTCATTTTCTTTTTCATCATCATCATCATCAACATCAGCATCGTCATCATCGTCATCATCATCATCATCAGCAACATCATCATCGCCCACCATTATCGTCAGACACGAGGTGTTACACGCGACGACCTCGCACGCCCCCTCGTCCAGTCGTCACCCAGAATGCTGGGCTGGCACAATGGCAGGACTTGCCGCATGCGGCTGAATGCCGACAGGGCAACCCTTCGGCCGACACGGGGGTGGTGTGTGGATCGGGCCGGGCGAAAGGGGGGGATAGCAAAGGGGGGGGGGTGAGAATCAGCTCATGTAGCGGACTTTCCCGCCGCCGCCCGGCGCCGGAGGCGACTTATGTATCGAGGAATGGGCCCGGCGGCGGGGCCGAAACCAGCTGCATGCAGCAGATTTCGTACCCTCCCTTTCTTCCTTCCCCAACCCCCCCTTTCGCCCGAACGAGTGGAGTGGTGGGAGGGGCCATGATTGGCCTGCCCACATAACTTTGGGACCTGGCCAACGTCACGCTAATGATGACCGCCTGATTCGGCACTACTGATCTCTGCAACCGCGTCAAAAAGCGAACGAGAGAGAAGAAGGGAGCCGTTCGAAGATCATGAGTGGGCCTCCTGCGCAAGAATCATCAGCATCTCATGATGGCTGTATGGGCCGATTGCTCGGTATAGCCACACAAACGGGCATAACAGTTGATGTGCGGCCTAGATCTGGACAAAAAAACGAAAAAAAAGAAAGAGAAAAAAGAAAAACACGAAAACAAACAAAAACAAAAACAAACAAATCCCAGAAAGCAGAACACAGCCAAAAAAAAATAAAAAAAAAAAGAACAGAAAAGACAAAAGACGATGTGCCACTTCTCAGGGGGGGCTTCCCCTCACAGGTGCTAATGGAGTGCTCCGCTATTTTTCCTCGCCCCACTAATGGCCCCCCCACACATTTCCCACTAATGACCCGCGAATGCCTCGCTTATGGCCCACTAGTGGACCCTCTACGGGCGCACTAATGAATCTGCCCCACGAAGGCCCAATAAGGAGACTGACCCACAACGCGGGGGGGAACGCGTCCGAGCCGCCTCGAGAAATCCTGTGTCTGGCGCCACCGACAGCATTATGCTATACCGTTGAACTCATACTGGTTCAGCAGGTGGGGGAAACGAATCAATGCACGCAGCTGGTCTTCCCGGCGCCTCCTTGCGACGGCAGCGCCCACACATCGACAAAGAATGGCGGCCAGCGGAGGGGCCGACACCACCTGGAAGCAGCATGGAGGGAGGGGTAATTCCGATATCGTTGATGACTTGCTTGGGGTTCACACTGGTCATCATCCTCCTCCTCCTCTCCCGCTCCTCCTCCTCCTCCTCCTCCCGCTCCTTCTCCTTCCCTCCCCCTCCTCCTTCTCCTTCCCCTCCTCCTCCTCCATCCTCCCTCTCCCCCTCCTCCTCCTCCTCCCTCCCCCCACCCTCCTCCTCCTCCTCCTCCCCTCCTCCTCCGCTCCTCCTCATCCCCTCCTCCTTGCTCCTCCTCCTCCTCCTCCTCCTCCTCCTGCTCCTCCCCAACTCCCCCCCTCCTTCCTCCCCTCATTTTCCTCCTCCTCCTCCTCCTCCTCCTCCTCCTCCTCCTCCTCCTCCTCCCTCTCCCCCTCCTTCTCCTCCTCCTCCTCCTCCTCCTCTTCCTGCTCCTCCTCCTGCTCCTCCTCCTCCCGAGTCCGTGAACCTCTTCGCTTCGGTACCCCCCCGCCGTCGTCCGACCAGAGAAGGTGGGGAAGAGCAGGGAGACGACGACCTGTGCTTCCCCGACGCCGTGAACTTCCGCGATCTGTACCCCGGGAGCTCCCGACCTCGCTTGGGTCGGGCATGTCCCCCTACAGGCGGATTGTTGGAGAAAAACTTAGAATTCGTAGATAACACGCAGAAGTATCAAACAATTGTTAAAAACAATCGCCCCCATACTATGATTTGACTATTTTTGAATGTTCCTCCTGCAGAGGGACACGCCCGACTTAAGACCTCGCCCATGGGGCTGCTTTTCCCTTCGGGCCGCCATCAGACGACCCGGCCACGCGCCAAGAGGGGCCCCAGGGAAGCGTGCACTTCGGTGCGCGGCTCGCCGATCGTGGCCTGCGGCGCGGCAGCAACAGCGGCCGGCCATCTGGACCCCGTTCCCCCCTGCAAACCGCGCACCAGAAATCACACTGGCCAAAGGGCACTTCTATTGAACAGGGACTGACCGTCCTGGCCTTCCTATAGGCCCTACCACGACATGTTCTTAGAACCCAAGAGTGTTCTAAGAACAAAAAAGCAAGGTTCTTAGACCATAAACCCGATGTGTTAAAAGAAGACAGTCCCAGTCAGAAATGTTATGATATCATTTCATGCAGACCACAAACGGTTCTTAGAACATTGTTTATTGGGCCTTTAGGCGAGCCAGGACGCTTCGCCACTGCTTGATTCTACGTATGCCCGGATGGCCCCGCACCTGACTTTGCGGAATAACTGTCTGGACCCCTAAGCCTACTTGTTAGGGCAGCCCAAAACCTCGACTGCGATTAGTGTTTAGAATACCTTTTGACCCTCCTTGAAGGTCAAGGGCCCCCTGGAAAATCGCTCTTGGCTCAAGTGCTCCGGCGGCGTGTTCACGGGCCGGAGCCGCGCTCTTCCAGCTGGCGCGCGCAGGGGGCCAGGCGCCAGAGGAGAGGGATGTTCTTGATCAACAAAATACATCCACGGGACAGCTGCCACATTCACCTAGTCAGGAGGGTGGCAAGATCTCCGAGGGTGACTGAATGGGACCTAGCAGCGTCCGAAGCGAAATCTGAGAAGTCCGAGCGTCTGAAAAGGGTAACTGAACGATGGTCACTCCATGGTGCATACACGAGCCACAGACATACAGAACCAGAAATCAGCCCCGTCCGAGCAAGGAACAATTATGGAGTGACCGATTAGGTCAGCCACATGAAGGCCAGGAAAGATTGGCCCAGGACAGATATTGGCGTCTGGTTTCGCCGCGAAGCTGGACTTAGACGACAAGCCGCATACTTTCACAACTGATGCTGCCACTGCCACTGGTGCTACAAAGCTGATCCTGACACAACGGGTGTTCGCGGCGGCGCCCGTGGGAGCTCGACTCCCTGGAGGTTGAGCTGCGGCGATCCAGAGGAGGAGGAAGGAGGGTGAGGGCGGAAGGAGAAATGGGGGAAGGGGAGGAGGAAAGGGGGAGGGAGGAACGATCCCCCCCAATGGTGACCGCGCTGGGAGGCCTCGTTCGGCGTGATGCCGTTGAGCAGCAGCAGCAGCGTGCGGAGTATCAGCAGGCGGCATGGCGAGACGGCCAGCGCCTGCCGCGGACAGTGGAGGCGCCCGCGGTGGCGGCGCGGCGCCGACGCCGTCGCCGCCGCAGCCGTCGCCGTCGAAGTGATCGTCGTCGTCGTCGTGGTTGTCAGCGCCGCGGTCGCGGCCGTGGTCGTGGTCGTCGCGGTCGTGGTTGTCGCGGTCGTGGCCGTCGTGGTCGTCGTGGAGGCATCCTCCTCCCTCCCCCGCTCCTCGAACCTCCGACCTCGTGTCGCACGTTGCGCCTGCTGTTTTCCACTACGCGAACCCCGGGAGCCATCAAGCCCGTGCCTGGACGCGGCTCTCCGACGTGGCATGCTCTCTGGTCTGGCGTCGGGGGAACAGGCTCCGACCCCGGAAACTCTCGTGAACGGCGGCGAGCGCATCTGGACTCCGGGGCGCGATCCCGCGGACATGCGGCCGCACGGACTCGTTCCGCGCGGGCACCTGCTAAACACCGTCGCGTATCTGAAGAGTCTTCATGTGTTTGTGTTGTTCTCATGTTCTGGATTTGTTATATGTTTTCAATGCATGACTTTCTCGTTCTTTGTTTTCTCTGTGTTTTTATGTTTCGCATTTCGGTTTTGCGTCGAGTCAAACATTTTACAGGATCGTGTCCGCGGGGCCGCGGCCCAGCGGGCCCGGCCGGTGAGGTGGCGGGTACGGGTGCCCGTCGGCCGCAAGCAGTGGGCAGAAGCATGAAGAAGGAGGGCGTTGGAAGCAGACTGGGCCTCCGCCCGCCCCCTGAAAGGGAGGGGAGCTGGAAAGCCACTTGACTCTTGCAGCAGGAAGGCGGCTAGAGGAGACTGGCATCTGGGACATAAAGAATACCTGCTTTTGAAGACCGGCGTGTATCTGTTGAGCAGGGGCCGACCGTCCCGGCATTCCAAGAGTCATACCACATAATGTTCTTAGAACCCAAGAATGTTCTTCTAAGAAAATTTGTCCCAGTGCGACCCTACCTAGAAGTTGGAGCCCCTAGGAAAGCAGCATTAGTAGTAAGAGTAAAGCTAAGCTAAAGCTAAGCTAAAGCTGAGCTAAAGCCGAGCTAAAGCTAAGCTAAGGCTAAGCTAACACTAAGCTAAAGCTACGCTAAAGCTACGCTAAAGCTAAACTGAAGCTAAGCTAACGCTAAGCTAAATCTAAGCTAAATCTAAGCTAAAGCTAAGCTAAAGCTAAGCTGAAGCTAAGCTAAAGCTAAGCTAAAGCTAATATAAAGCTAAGCTACAGCTAAGCTAAAGCTAAGCTAAAGCTAAGCTAAAGCTAAGCGAAAGCTAAGCGAAAGCTAAGGTAAGCTAAGCTAAGCTAAGGCTAAGCTAAAGCTAAGCTAAAGCTAAGCTAAAGCTAAGCTAAAGCTAAGCTAAATCTAAGCTAAAGCTAAGCTAAAGCTAAGCTAAGGCTAAGCTAACACTAACCTAAGCTAAGCTAAATCTAAGCTGAAGCTAAGCTAAAGCGACGCTGAAGCTAAGCTAAAGCTAAGCTAAAGCTAAGCTAAAGCTAAGCTAAAGCTAAAGCTAAGCTAAAGCTAAGCTAAAGCTAAGCTAAATCTAAGCTAACACTAAGCTAAAGCTAAGCTGACACTAAGCTGAAGCTAAGCTAAAGCTAAGCTAACGCTAAGCTAAAGCTAAGCTAAAGCTAAGCTGAAGCTAAGCTAAAGCTAAGCTGAATCTGAGCTAAATCTAAGCTACAGCTAAGCTACAGCTAAGCTAACACTAAGCTAAAGCTAAGCTAAAGCTAAGCTGAAGCTAAGCTGAAGCTAAGCTGAAGCTAAGCTAAAGCTGAGCTAAAGCTGAGCTAAAGCTAAGCTAAAGCTAAGCAAACACTAAGCTAAAGCTAAGCTAAAGCTAAGCTAAAGCTAAAGCTAAAGCTAAGGCTAAATCTCCCAGGGGACTGGGGAACGGGGGGGGCGGGGGGGCGTGGGAACTGGGGGAAACCGCCCGTGGCAGTTAGCACTGCCCCGAGGCCCCTTTAGCTTACCGAGTAAGACCACTTCTAGGCAGAGCCTAGGTAGGAACAATTTTCGTAGCATCGTAAACCCGACGTGTAAAACAAGACAGACCCTCCGCCAGAAATGTTCTATAGAACTCGTGGGGAATCCAAAAAGGTTCTTGAACATTGTTTGGTAGGGCTATAGTCGAGCCATACGCTTCGACCACTGCTTGAAATCTGGAGAGAGCGTGACCCACCGCCGCTTTACTGTGGAAAATTGCCAGCCTTTTCCTCCGGTGCCCGGGGGTCGCCCCCCCCCCCCCGCCCCCCTCCGAAAATCCCCCCCCCCCCCCCCTGCTGGAAACCCCTCCCCCCTTCCCCCCCCTCCTTCCCCCTCCCCCGGCAAAAACCCCCCCTCCCCTAACCCCTCACCCCCCCCCCCCCCCTCCCGCTCCGAAAACTCTGGGGGCCCACTACCGGTTCGAACCCCTTCCCCACCCCCCCCCCCCCGGCTCCGGGAAAACCGGGGGGGGTCACCTACCAACCGTTCGAAAACCCCCCCCCCCCTCCCCCCCCCACCCTCCCCCCCCTACTCACCGCCAGCAAACGACTCCCGGTCCCCACGACCGTCCGCATCACATCCCCCACTGGTGTTCCCAGCACCACTGCCCTCACCACCGCTGTCCCCACTGGTTCCACCACCGCCCCTACTGTCCCCACCAGTGGCCCCACCACTGTCGCACTGTCCCCGCTGTCCCCAGAACTGTTCCCACCACGGTTCCACTCTCCCCACTGTCTCCACGGCCCCAACCACTGCCCGACTATCCCCACTGTCCCCACTGTCCCACTGACTCCTCCGCTGTCCCACTGAGCTGTCCCACTGTTCCCACCACTGTCCCCACTGTCCCCACCACTGTCCCCACTGTACCTCTGTCCCATTGTCCCACCGCCGTCCTCGCCACCGCCTTCACCACTGTCCCCACCACCATTGTACCCTCCACTGTCCCACTGTTTCCACCTCATTCCCACTGTCCCCACACCACTGTCCCCACCACCACCGTCCCCACCACTGTCCACTGTCCCCCCTGTTCCCACCATTGTCCCCACCACTGTCCCCACCACTACCGTCCCCACCACTGTCCCACTGTCCCACTGTCCCCACCACTGTCCCGCTATCCCCTCACCACTGTCCCCACCAACACCGTCCCCACCACTGTCCGCACCCCCAATCGGTTTTCGAGGGAGGGGGGGTTCGAACCGGTAGTGACCCCCCCCGGTTTTCCGGATCCGGAGGGGGGGGGGGGGGGGGGGGGTTTTCGAACCGTTAGTGACCCCCGATTATGTTAATGATGACAGGGGTGGAGGGGGGGAGGGTTCGACCGGTAGTGACCCCCCCCGGTTTTTCCGGAGGGGGGGGGGGTGGGGGGGGTGTGGGGGGGGAGGGTTCGAACCGTATGACTCCCCGGCGTTTCCGCCAGCAGCGGTAGAACACGCTCTTTCGAATCTGGCGGATTCCCGAAACCATGAACTCAAAGAGAATGTCATGACTTGGGAGGTCGCCTTTCGCTCCCGCCGGCCTCCGCTGGCCTTCCGCCAGCTTCCGCCAGCAGAGGCGGCCTGGTCTTCATTCCGCCGCCCTTCCGCCGACGAAGGGATGGCAACTCCCGCCCTCCTTTTGGACCCCCCCTCAGGGGGGGTCCAAAAGGAGGGCGGGGGGTGCAATTCTCATGGCCAGCGGCACGTGCGCGGCCCAGGGAGGGGGGGGGGGGGCCAGGGACGTGATGAGATAAGAGGAGGCGCCCTGAGATCTGGGGACATCTCGTGGCCCACGCCGTGAGATCTGCCACCCCCCCCAGCCACCACCCCCCCCCCTCTCTGCCGCCCCCGAAATTCTTGAGACGCTCAATACATTTCCCGCCCACGGCAACTCCGCGCGGGCCCCCGACAGGCTGCCCTCGCGGCAGCCGCCGCTGCCCTTCGGCCCTCCCCGCCCCTGGCAGGGCCCGAGGGGGCAGGGGCGGACCGCGGGCACGCGACGCCTCACGGCAAAGGCTGGCCAGCACCCTGCCGTCGCTCAGACGTCTGTTCCCCGTGCGTGTCTCCGACGACCCACCAGACCACCCCCCACCCAACCCGAAGGCCCGAATCTGACCCGACTTTCGGGTTGGGGGTGGTACGGGTTCCATGTGTTTTTCCAACGCTCCCCGACCCCCCCCAACTGGAAATCGAGGATACATTTGGACCTTCGGGTTGGGTTGGGGTGGTTTGGTGGGTGGTGAGAGTCGGCTCCGTGCGATTCTGTTTCGCGAGATGCTCCAGGATGTTCTGCGATAGCCCTCGCCGAGCAAAGCAACTGCGCACGTCCGACCGATGCCAAAAGTGGCACTGAGAGCGGCCGTCGTTGGGAAGGCGGCGGTCTGCATCAAGCGGACAGCGCCCGCGACAACGGCGACCGCGACCCCTTCCCAAATGGGCAAGTGCTACGGCTGGTCTTCGCCCCCATACCAACCGTCTCCAGTTCGATCGTCTGTGCCCGCTCCCAAGAATTCGCCGGCCCAACGGGCCAGAGGCGTGCTAAGATCTCCGGTAACTTGTTAACAATATTTCTAAGACGCGCGCGCGCGGAGCGGCCCCTGGGGGCCCCCGGACGAAAAGTACCCCGGCAAGGTCCCGAGAGGGGAGGGTATTTTTCGACACCCCTCACGAGGATCGTGGCCTCCGAGGGGGGAGCCGCAATCGACTACCCCCAAGAGCCCCCCAAGAGGCCCTGGGGGCCTCCAAAACGCCGCCAAGGAGCCCCAAGAGACTCCCAAGAGGTCCCCAAGAGGCCCCCAAGAGGCCCTAAAGAGGGCTCCAGGGCCGGCGGCATGAGCGAAGCGATTAAATAAGATTACACCAGACAGAACCCCAATCAGTGGATGGTTTTTGCTGAAGAGATCGACTGGGAACCCGAGCCCGCTTCAAGAATATGTGCGCTATGCGTTTGCAACGTGCTTACAAACCACTTATACACATACCAAGTTGTCTTATACCATTGGGAACAACATCTATATGTTGACCAGAACATGAGCAACAATGA